TAGTTTATGAAAAGTTATTTCTGTTAAATAAAATATCTCCTTTTGAAGTCGACTTTGAGCTTTGTAACTTTGCAGATCTTTTTTATGCTCAAACAGCAACATTACAGACTAACTAAAGCTGAAAAAGTGAAAAAGCATAATAGGACCCCTTTAACTTTTTTTTTCTTTTTGTTACATTATATGAAATGTTATATAAGATCACATTAAAACTGACTTGGAGACTTTTGTTTAACCACGCCTTCATCATTCAGATATTCTACTTTTCAAGTTCATTTTATAAGTAGATTGTAGTTTTACTCTAGTCCCAAAGGTCCCCATGTGACCTTTAGTTGTCTAATATGAAAATCGATTATAAAAATGTACGATCATCTAAACAAAGACTAAAGTAAACATAAACCATTTCAATAATTATTGTGTGAAAAAAAAAATGTATATATATTTTTTGAAATGACAGTTCCACCACACTGAATAATTGTGCCTTTGATAAAGTGTACTTGTTTAATAAGGAGACAGTAAGATCAGTGAAGACAAACGAGGCAGCCGTTTGATCAAAAATGTCATTTCTACAATTGTCATTAAATTACAGGTTGCATGTTTTGAGACAAAGTGGAAATGGCATTGTAGTGGGGTTTCAGAAATAATGAAAAAAGAAGAGTGGGAGAAAAAAGTGCCCATAGTTGAAGACACAGATTAAGGCATGTTTGTACAAAAATAAATAAATAAATAAAATACTAATGCCTTGGATAATCATGATGCAATGCTAAATTCAGCACATTTAGAGACTGACTAAACAGGATTGCAGATTGAAACTGGACTCACTCCAGATCCAGTGGTCTGCCTAACTGTTTATTGAATTCATCTTTTAGTGTTGGTGCAATTTAACAGCACAGTATGTACCAAAGTAACAAATGTGAGCTCAGAAATTGTTTAATGTTTGCCCTTGGTAATCTATCCAACCTGCTATTGTTTTAAGTGCAAACAGACACGGCAACAGGCTTGCAAAGGCCCTCAGAGCATGCAGATGGCTCAGGAAAGCAGACTGCATACTTCAGTGTGAATGAAAGCTCTAGACGGGCCACACCACCCCAGCAGGAGCACAACCGTCAGTATTATCATGTGGAAATCTGCCTTAAACTGCAGGCAGATTAAAACAATATGCGTTTAGCCGTAAAACACATGTTCTGTCTGCCCTGACGATGTGGATCAGAGGGTACCATTGGCAAACTGTGCCACATCGTTTAGTTATTGAGATCACAGCAACCAGATAACACACACAAGACACACACACTTTATTGTAATTCCAGCTACAAAACATCAGAAAATCCTGAGATGGTCCTGTGCTTGTCACATTTTAGACACATCCATTTAGCTTCTGTCTGTTTAATCTCTGTTAGTTTATTGGCAAAAAAACTGCATTATAAAGAAGTACTCACTCAATGATGCTTTAATTATTAAGAGACTCATTGAAAAATAACAATTTTGCTGTGATTAGATGCACCTTATTTTCTTCACTTGAGAGCTACACGTTTTTAACCTTTTACAAGATAAAAAGCAATTAATGCTCAACAGCATGTGAAAAAAATGTCAAAACAATCGCTGTGGGCTTAGCTGTGAGGATAAATATACATGGAAATATGACAGTTACTATAATCTTACTACAAAAGTAGGTCAATAAAAAAAAGGGGGGAAAGGACTTGCAACCTGATTCAGGCGCAGTTGGCATTTGTCTCTTGACACAATGCAGGCAAATGTTGGGATTTGAGTTTGGGGACGAAAAATAGACCAAAGGATTAAAGCTGAGCAGCATGTCATCAAGAGGGATATGGTCACATGAAGGCGATAAACCCTCTTTCTCTCTCTCCCAATGCTTCAAGTAACCAGTCAAAGTGACACTGTCTGGAAGAGCCTGGAAAATGAATGCGGGGCACGAGAGGCTGGAAATGGACGAGATGAAGCACGATGCGGAACGTGTCGCATCCTTGAGTTCGAGGCTAAAATAAGAGCCTGGTCTCATGAAAATGCGTATAAATAGTATGCCAAATAAAAATGAAAATTTGTGGTATTGATACGCAAAAATGGACTTTGAAAGCATATGATACGCATGTGTTTGGCGTGCATATAACGCAGTTTTCACGTGCGTATGATACGAAATTTGTTGGCGTACATATGATACGCAGTTTTCGCGTACATATGATACGCATCTACCCCACAACCCTAAACCTACCCATCGCGTAGCATATACACGCCAAAGTCCATTTTTGCGTATCAATACCTCGAGTTTTCGTTTTTATTTGGCGTACTATTTATACGCACTTTCATGAGATCGGGTTGGTCTGGAAATCCGCTTCTGCTCTCTTCTGTGTTTGTTTTGTGGAGGCACGGGTATTGTTTTTACAGGCAGCCATTTTGTTGACAAAGGAGGCAGTATTATAGTCGAGGTCAGCTTATTCAAGTCCGAGACCAGTCCAAGTCAAAACTGAGACCAGAAGAGGGTTAAGTGTGTGTTAAGACAGAGAACTGAGGAGGGTTAAATGATTCAGACAGTGTAAATATGTTTTTCTGTGGGGTGAATGAAGCCTGGTTTCATATGAGGGTCACACGAACCTCCACAGCACACACAAAGTGTGCTCTAGTCCAGATACATAACAGACCAACTCTGAGTCCAAGGCATAGTCCAAATGCTCCATGGCAAGACCGGGACCATGAAAATATGGTCTTGTACTTGGACTTTTCAACACTGAAAAGTCATGGGTTCCTTGGTGTTGAAGCAGACTAAATGATAGGAGAAATCCAGTATACATCACCAGAGAAAGTTTTACTAGAAGATCAAGTTACGATATTATGATTACAACTTAAGGTCCAAAAAAAAAAAAAATCTTATTCAGGGATGAACCATTGATACATTTTCATTTCATGCTGACTTTAAAAGTGTATGGAAAGTGTTTGGTGTGATTTATCTACCCATAATAACTTGTGGATCTCTCTTCAGGATTATGTGCAGTGTAGTTCATCACAAAGAATTAAGCTGAAATCAAGCTATAGATACCATTTCTTAACAGTCTCTGAGTTTTGAAAGGTTAATATGTCAACATTTCAAGTTTTCAAGGAATCTCTAAGAAAGTTTCTCCAAAGAGAAGATTATGCAGATTTTTTGATTGAACCTGAGCTTAAAAGTTGTACTCTGTTTCCGTACTGGTCCAGTCTGATCAGTGCTTGTTTGGCGCTGGACTAGCTCAAGAACAAGTATAGACATGTTGTTCACCTGCAAACAATGCTGGTCAGTCAGCATTATCTTTCTGGGAAAGCTGGGTGATCAAGGAAGTTTGGTGGGGACACCAGCACCCAGCATCCCGAACACAGCATATCCTGATGACCAGCAATGCTGGTCGATTCAACTTTACAATTAAACTTTGACATGAATCATCAGACTGTCTCTGTCAATTGAATTTACCAAAAGTGCTGTAAGCTAAGAAACCCAGTGAATCCTAAAAGCCTTACAAGTGTGCCTTAAAAGCCTTTTGTAAATGTAATAAGCCAGGCAAACCAGGCATTACTGAATAAATAAACTGATCATCCTCTGGTTCCAATCCTGAAAGGATGACAGGAAAGAGACAAAAAAAAAAAAAGAGTCAGACTCTAACTCCCAGATAGAGATGTCTGATTTTGCTTGGCTTTAAGAAAATCCAGGTGGTAATTTTCCAGCCAGTAAGGAAGGAAGCCTGGATATGCCTTCTGAGATGGCAAATGTCGGGAATCATAAAAGATTTCTAATCTCATATGGCAAAACTACCAGTCTTTGATTGCTTAGTGTGACATGCTCAACAATGGCCAATTATTCGCCCTTGTGATGAATTGCCTCTGATAAAACAGGGACGGACATGTTAGTTCAAATTTGTTTATACTATCTTGTCTATATGATATGCAATATTTAGCTCAGCTGGTAGAAAATGCTGCTTGTAAAAACAAATTCATAGGCTAAATTCCCATGGAATGTGACCACAGAACTCATAAAAAAATGTATACATTGAATGCAATGCATTTTGGATAAAGTCTTTTAAAAACATTAGACAAAACCTGCCAAATGCATAAAATATACAAAGTCATTTGGTAGGTTGTGGGTTTTATTCCCAGGAAACAAACTTGTCAAAAGCCTCTGTGTTTACAAAATTCATAAATGTATCAAACAATTCTGAAAAAAAAAATCCCACATGTATATAGATGATTTTAGTCTAAAGTTTCTCAGTCCATTAGCATGCTTTGCTTTTATCTGCAGCTCTTTAGATATGCCAGGCTCCTTGAGATTACCCTTGAGATTGAAGTTTATTCTTTTATTTAAATTGGTTGGTCAAATTGAATTGAATAGAGAGATTTTTCAGGTGATTCGTGTAAGCTTCACAATCTTAAAGGCTTGGTTTAAGGCTTTTTTACAGTATGTGGTTATTTGGTTGAACTGTGCTGTTCTCCTCTTGCAATCAGTGTGTATTCATTTAAACAGGTTTATTCAGAAACAAAAACAGCTGTGGATGATTCACTTGGATAGCTATACGCATGAGTCTTCAGTGAGAGTAATTCTCTGTGTTCAGAAATCCACAAACCTCACAACCTCATAAATCCACATGGTCCACATCGGACAGCTGGCTTAGTAACCTGCTTGGATTTATGGCCTCATCCAGAGTATGTGAGGAACGCTGTGGCATTCTGGACACTACAGCAATATTCTCGAAGTGATGGAGTGATTTGAAGTAATAATGTCAATCTGTTCCTCTCAGAAAATGGAACAGATTCTATAGACCTTTTTTCCACAGGATTTTTTATTTATTTATTTATTTTATTTTATTTTTTACAGCCATGCACAGGGACAGTCTTGATCCCTTGCATGAGCAACCAGTCTGTTTAAAGCTGGAAATGAAATGTTTGCATGACAGCCTCCATGCAAAGTCAAAAGTGTGTCTAACAGTTAAACTTTCTCTGTCTTCCCCTTTATGCCATCTTCTCAAAAGCTGTGAACAAAACCCCTGGTAAGTGAGTCTTAGGCTGTGAAAACTCATCACATACGGTATACATTCAAATAAAGCTAAGATAAAGAGAATTAAAATAATGTTCTATTCACTTAATAGTCACTTTTACACATGAAGCCATATAATTGCATAAAACAAGACTCCAAATACCTTGTGCACATACCCCATTTTTAAATCACAGTCCAAATAAGCATATGGTTAAGCATTTTAAATGTGGGTTTTCTCTACTAAGATATTTTCAGTAAGCTGTTTCAATCAAGTCCTGAAAAGTGAAGCCAAAGCATCTCAATCACCCCCAGGTGACTGTATGTAATGTAATGGGACCTGAGACAAACTAAACTATCAAGTTACACTTTAAATAATTTTTTTCCAAAGACATTTTCTGTCATTTTCGGTAGTTCTTAGCATGCTGATGTATGTTCAAGCGTTCGTTTTTCTAATAAGTTGACTTTTAATTTGTTATTTGATGCTATAAAACGGGGTGTGGTGACATGATTGTGAGCTTGCGATTGGGTCTGCGGGAGTTTGCGCGGGACTTTGATACTGTGGCTCCACCTCACGATCACTACTGCGCAGACTCTGGCTCCAAATTATGTAATTGTCGAAAAGATGACAGCGGCCATACTGAGAATGTTTTGGCTTCACTTTTCTATAGTGGAAAGAAGTTCAGATGCGTCGTCCATCTTTTTTACAGTCTATGGTTTTAATACATTAATGTGATAAATATGTTAAGATGTATTACTAACAAAAAAAAAAATCACCAATGGATTTTAAATTATTATAGGTTATATTTTACTATGATCTTTAAATTACACTAAATTAAAACTTTCATGTTGTGTAACATACCATTACACCGCTCATTTTCTCCTAGCTTGTAATTCTCCTGACAGATGATCATAGTGCTTGTTGTCATGTTGTATTTAAGCACATTATCACAGTGCTGGCAGTGAACATAATCCTTGTTTGTAGTGAACTGCTCCCACACCTCATTAAGTTGAGCTCGTTCCATTTTTACAAGCCAAGACGCTGTGTCATAGAAGTAATTACGTGTAGCACAAGATACATCATGCACTTTAGAAATCCATCAGAATATAAAAAAAAATTCCTCCAGTCGTCTATTAATAATCATTAATACCCCTATACCTCTACTAACAAAAAAAATGGGAGCGCACAAGATATCTGGAGCTTAATGCACAAGTTTGCTGAATTTTTGTTTCCTACATTAAGATACGTGTGACAATTTCGAGGCCCATGTCATTATAGAAGTAAATGCCACAGAGCAATTGCGTTCAATTGTGCTCATTCAGAACTTAGTGACAAAGTTGGGAAACCCTCAAAGCTGGCAAAATACTGGAATATAAGTGTAAATGTATACATTTCTGACAAAGGCTGTATGTGTGAAAGTGTCAGATGACATATTACTGCTCATATTAAAGTAATGTATTACTATTAGAGCTGTCAGTCTTATAAAAAATCATCGAATTTATTACATTATATGCTGATTAATTCATCAAATTAAAAACAAATAATCACAAATATTTTGTAATACTTTTTTTTTTCAGCAGGGATGCATTCAAATGATCAGAAGTGACAGTAAATCCTTTTAAAATTGTTACAAAACAAAATTCAATAGAATACTGTTCATTCATCAAAGAATCCTGGAAATATATCACGGTTTCTACAAAAATATGAAACAGCACAACTATTTATTATTATTATTATTATTTACATTAATAATAATCAGAAATGTTTCTTGAGCTCCAAATCATCATATTAGAATTATTTCTGAAGGATCATGTGACACTGAAGACTGGGGTAATTGTTGCTAAAAATCCAGCTTCCCCATCACAGGAATACATTATATTTGAAAAATAATTAATATGTATTAATCTGAATAAGTAAATATATTGAAATAGAAAACAGTTTAAGCCACCAATAAATATAATTCAAAGACATGTTGTCACAGGCAAGTAAATAATTAAATAGACATTGCAAGATACTTTTTTATATATACTGTACATAGTCATATTAAATTAAGTGACAGCCCTAATTAATTAATGTTGGCACATTTGTCCTGGATTAGGGAGATATAAATGTTATCAATCTCTTTTCTGAATGAGAAGCTTTTTTATTGCAGAAAGCTTCTGCTTTAGTGTGATAGCCATGGTTTGTCTGTCAGCAAACCATGAGTGGTCACAATACCTGAACAGTATTGGTATTGGTGTTCTCAAGTTTTCTCTCTTTCTCTGTCTTCTGCTCTCGTGTTCTTTTTTCCCAAGGGTTCGCGCATATGGTGAAGTCTCCGCAAGGTATGCTCAGTTCTCTCAGTGTACATTTTCCAATGTGTTTACATTGTTGTTGTGACTGCTCTTGCACGTGCATGCGGCTCCCTGCACAGAATCCTGCTTTACGATTGGCTCTGCCCTTGTGACACTGTATTATTATTGTCCTCTTGCTGAATTATGTAATTTCTTTCTGTGATACTGCGGTGAACTGTCAGGTCGGTTTTCTCAAGGTTGACTCTCCCCGTGATGTCATAGCGAGTTACATTCTCTCTCATCTGTTAGACTGCTGCAGTGCCAACTGACCCATAATGAATGATCACCAATCTGTGATGATTAACCTCCATATTACTTAGATATCATTCATAGACTGGAATAATTACTATGCGGTTATAAATAATATATCCCTGAGCTAAACAGAACAGCTCTTCTCTGAATGAGTGATGCTGAAAGGAAGCAAAAGTGCATGTTAATAGAATTATTCCTTTTAAACAGGTTTTGCTTTGTAAGTGTGTGCTGTATGAATGATCTGCCATGATGGGTTTGTCCTGAATTCTGGGCATCTGCCAACGTTTCTAATATTTGTACAATTTTATCGGTGCATTGAGCTTATGCGCTGGTAATCTACACTAAGAGGGTTCAGAATAGGGTCTGACAAAATAAAAACATATTTAATCTTTTAAATAGTGAAATGAAGTTCAGAAAATGTTGTCAACATGCAAAGGTCAAAATGTTTTAAGATATAAAATATATGAAAATATTTTACAACCTTCTTACTAAAATTAATGTTCAAATACAAAAACCATGAATTGTGATA